GTACTCAGTTTTACCCTGCATTTATTTAGCCTGTCCTGCAGCTAACATATTGCTCTTTGTTGATCATTGCTCTACTTTACATGGTCATTTGTTGGTGTGTGTGTGTGTGTGTGTGTGTGTGTGTGTGTGTGTGTGTGTGTGTTGAGGAAAAGAAGTTTTATTGCTTTGCTAGCACAGGAGGAAACACGTGGCTCTGTCCCAGAGGCGGTGATTCTGCCCATCACTGGGAGGGGTTTTTTTTTGGGGGGGGGATACTGGGGATTGAACCCAGGTGTGCTTAACCACTGAGCCATATCCCCAGCCCTCTTCTTTATCTAGAGACAGGGTCTGGCTAAGTTGCATAGGGCCTTGCCAAGTTGCTAATGCTGGGTTTGTCTCATGATCCTCCTGCCTCAACCTCTTAAGCCACTAGGATTACAGGCATGTGCCACTGTGCCCGGCAGCAGGGGGCTTTATTTTCTTTATTTTTTTATGTGGTGCTGAAGATAGAACCCAATGCCTCACACATGCTAGGTGAGCACCCCACTACTGAGCCACAACCCCAGCCCCAGTAGGGGGCTTTTAAAGAGGTGATTGAAAGGCTACTTCCATGTGTTCTGAGTTGTAATTCACTGGTTAATTTAGGAGATAGCCATTTTTGAGATCTTCTGGTGCTATTCCCAAAGTCTGAATTACTTTATTCCTGTGATGAATGTATGCTCAAGAACAGATAACTGCTTAGGATGGGAAGAAAGTTAATCCTATTTCACCTGAGATTAAGGAAGGGGAGAAATAGAGAAAGAACATGCCTATTTTGTATTAAAAAAAAGTTGCAGTGGCAGAGCAGGGAGGGCTATACTTAAAATAAAAAGTGGACCACTGTTACATTTTCCCACTGACAATTTCTACATTCCATTTCTATGGGAAAATGGGTGAGGATATCTCCAAACTGCTTCCTGATGAAAGAGTGCGAAGTTGGGGCAAGTAAGCAAAAATCTTTGTTCTCTATCAGATGGGATGTCGACAGTTAAGGGTATTCAGCATAAGAGTCGTCCAGAAGTCCGAAGTGGCAAATTGGGGGTGAGTGGACAAGGCACACATAGGGCAGAGATTGTTTAAAGACAACCATAAATAAGACAGCAAAGTATTGCTATTTTGTAAATAATTAGTGCAAAAACAATTAGTAATTTAGCCCGTCTCTGAAAACCGTTGAAGACAGTAACTCATAATCATTATCAGTGAAAAACAGGAGTTACCTATGTAGGACCTTAGGAAGATTTGTAAATCAGTCTCAAATTGACTCATTTGGTGTTTAAATTGCTTGCCTAATTGGAAAACCACCTCATGTTGTCTGCAGGTGATTCTGTAGACAAATGAAGATGGAGATATTAACAAGCTAGTGGAGGCCTTTGTGTATGAGATGGGCGGAGGACAGAGAGAGGGAGAGGTGTAGATAGATAGGGGCAACCTACCACTGAGCTGCATCCCCAGTCCTTTTATTTTTTATTTTGAAAGAGGGTCTCACTAAATCGCTTCCACTGGCCTTAAACTGACAATCCCAATAGAGGCCTCTTTTAGGTTTCCATGCGAGTTATGATTTCAAATGGATTACATTTCCCTCAAAACCTAAAAATCAATGTAACCTATGGTAATCTATACTGCCATTATCTGTTTTTTAAAGTAAAGATATTAGAATAAAATTTTAATTTAACATAGAAGTATAGACTCTTGATATATACCATATGAGTCAAGTGATATAGAAAAATTAACATATACTCTCTGCATGATTTTTGTCTACTATAAAGATACTATTAACCCCTGCTTCATTGAATTTTAGGTGAATTTAATGAAATGACAAAGCCCTCCAGGAAAAAAAAAAGGAATTCAGACTTTGAAGCACATTAAAATGTTAACTCAATGTCCTACTAGATATGCCTTATGTTATTTATAAAATATGGTCAATAGTAATACCTACTTTATTAAAAAGTCACTGTGAAGATTAAATGTAATCATCTGTATTAAATACCTGGTAATAGTAATTGCTCAAAAATGCTAGTTTAAAAAAATCCCTTAGATTAGTACCTGTAACATATTGATGCTTTATAATTGGTAGATTTATTAACTCCAGGGCTTTTATCAAAACATTTAATGTGTTTGTTTGTGGATCTATATGAGCTTAACTGTCAAGAAATGGAGTAGCATCCTACCTATTTGGTACTGTACTAGAATTCCTAGCTAGCTAGCAAGCACTCTGAGCCAAGAAAAAGGAAAAAAAAAAAACATAGGTTTGAAAAGAACGAAACAGGACTGAAAAAGAAATGGCACATCAGAGGAACCCACAATATCATTGCAGCTCCTGAGAGTGAATTAGAAGAGCAGTCCTCCTGTAGGAAACTGAGGTAGGCAGATTGGGGAAACACCTGTAGGCAATCCAGAGTGCTAGCGACCAAGTGAAAACCAGTATCATCAGTTTCTATAGTACAGAGACTTATTGCTGACATCTGTTGATTTCATTATCTGGTGGCTCAAAGAGGTTGGAGCTGGAAGCTCCCCTTCAACCAGATGAGATTCTTTGGTAGAAATTTGAATAGAAAATAAGCTCAGAAACAGCAAGTCAAACCAGTATGCAAGACCTCTGAGGAACTCCCCAGAATCACCTTGACAAAAATACCAGATAAAGACAAGCCAAGGGGAAAAATTAGAGACCAATAACCCTAATAAACATAGCTGCAAAATAGTTAGTATTTATTAATATTTATTTATTAATATTTATTAACAATATTAATTGTTAGTCTCGGGAAGTTGAGAACAAGCACCACCAGCAACACCTTCGATGTTGTGTGAAGGGTTGTCTCAGAGAACTAGAACACCTGATGAAGGCAGGAAGGGCAAGTCCCATTAGGAGAAAGTGTGAAAACTTTGAGAAGGACTGAAAGTAACCTCCAACCCAGAACACGAGCAATCACACAGAAACCTCCCCGGCTCTAGTAAGCCTCCTAAGAGTCTGTCTGGCGAGGCCGTACCTCACACCCATATTGGTTGTCTCAGGGCAGTAAGGGCATTGATCTGAGGGGTGTGGCCTCACATCGACACACTGAGAGGGTGTCAGAAATCGGAGTGCGGACACAGCTGTGATTTATGGGTTTTCCAATCTCAATCAAAAGAGAATCTGCACAATGCGATCCTCCTATCAGCCCTAATAAACCCCACGTGGAGTGCCCGGATGTGGGTGTGGCCTATAGTAACTTCCGCTTTGGGCTTTGAAAATCTGAATGTGGGGAGGCCTCCACGGACGTGTTTGGAGAGAGGTCGGAAGATTGAAGGAGCTCTAGACGGTGTCGGACACCAAGACCTTGTTGGATTTCAAGGCAGCTGTCGTCCCACTTAAAGGTGAGAATCCAGAAAGAAGAGTAACGTCCATCCCACCACAAGTAGGACCCCCATTTTCATCCTAGCCATTCCCTTTCTGTCAGCCCTCGATGACTCAAGGCAGGGTTCCCGGATGCGGTGTATTGGCCGCCCATCTTGAAGTTAGGGAATAGTTTTTCTGAGCGGTTTTTCAGACTCCGCTGAGCAGAAGGAGGCTTCTCAATCAGCGTCAGGCATCAAGATAATGATTATGGTGGGCAGAGGGAACTTTTACCTGTGTATCTCATAGAACTGCACCCCTGCACTCAGCTGTGGGAGCTCAGACGGGACAGTCAAGCAGAGACACCTCCCCCAATTCTCGGCACTTCATGTTGGTATTACCATGGTAGGGTCTTGGCTGAGTTCAGGAAATGGAACTATTTGGAAATATATGTCCCAGTCATTAAATATGACCTTGGAGACAAGGAGAGTACCCACCACAGAACCCAGAACAACATTGAAATTCCCCCTGGCCAGGTAGAAATCCTAGTGGCTCAGGGGGCTGAGAAAGGGGAATCCTGAGATCAAAGACGGCTCCAGCAACGTAGCGAAGCCTAAGCAATTCAGTGAGACCCTGTCTGTAAATAAAAACACAAAATGGGGCTTGGAGTGTGGCTCACTGGTTAAGCACAACAAAAGTTAAGTACTAATACCAAAGTAAAATAAGAGAAATGCACCCTGATTAGTTATCGACATTGCTGACTCTAGGAAATGCTGCCCACTGGAGCCGCCTCCTCACCTTGCATCCTATCTAGGAAGAGCATTTCAGGGTGGTGAGTGCCTTGGTCTCAACTGAGCCTCTGCTTCTCAAGGGAGGCACAGGTTCTCCCAATTGTAAGAGGAGTACCCTTTGATACAACAAAGCTGAGTGTACTTGCCACCGCATATTGGGAGAGATCCACAGAAAAGCACCCATTTTCTAAGAGCCCAAGGTGCGGTTCTACAGCAAAGGATTCACTTTCTATTCCCTTTACTTCCTTGTCTGGCATCTGTGGGAGTTGAGGGACTTGGTTTAAGGGAGGAATTCTCAACTTGGACAAATGAAAAGGTTGGCTGGACACTGGTGCACACCTATAAACCCAGAAGCTCAGGAAGCTAAGGTAGGAGGATCGGGAGTTCAAAGCCAGGCTTGCAATTTAGCGAGGCCCTAAAAAACTTAGCAACTATGTTGTGCTAGATGAAAGAAGAGGGTTGGGGGATGTGGCTCATTGGTTAAGCACCCCTGGGTTCAGTCCCTGGTACCAAAGGAAAAATTGACCCTGATCCCTGGTGTCAACACTGGGGACCCCAAGATATGCTACCCAGCTGAGCTTCCTCTTTTCCTTGTATCCTATCCAGGTAGAGCGTTTCAGGGTGGTGAGTGCCTTGGTGTGAAGGGCTGAGCCTCCGCTCATCAGGAGAGGTGCAGGCTCTCCCAGTTGTGAAGATGGGTCCCTTTGGTAGAGTACAGTTGAAATCACTTTTCATTGTAGATTGGGAGACAGCCATAGAAATGCACCCTTTTTCCAAGAGCTCGAGGTGTGGTTTCTAAGAGCCCAAGGTTCCCTCTTTACTCCCTTTACATAGTTGTCTGGCAGATATTACCCCCTCTACTCCCTTTACTTTGTTTTCTGGCAGAGGTTCTCCGCAACCCCCCCCCACTCCCTTTACTTTGTTGTCTGGCATCTCAGAGTTGTGGGCTTGGTTTAAGGGAGGCATTCTCAATTTAGGAAAAGGAAAGAATGGCTGAGCATGGTGGTACACACCTGTAATCCCAGCAGCTCAGGAGGCTGATTCTAGAGGATCTGGAGTTCAAGCCAGCCTTGCAACTTGGCAAGGCCGTAAGCAACTCAGTGAGACCTTGTGTCTAGATGAAAGACAAAAGAGGGTTGGGGATGTGGCTCATTGGTTAAGCACCCCTGGATTCAGTTCCTGGCACCAATGGAAAAGTTGACCCTGATCCTTGGTGTTAGCACTAGGGACCACAGGAAATGCTACACAGCTGATCCTCTTTCTTCCCTTACATCCCATCCAGGTGAAGCGTTTCAGGGTGGTGAGTGCCTTGGTGTGAAGGCTGAACTTCTGCTCATCAGAGGAGGCGCAGGCTCTCCCAGGTGTGAAGATAAGTACCATTTGATAGAGTACAGTTGAAAACACTTGTCATGGCAGAATGGGAGAATACCATAGAAATGCACCCTTTTTCTTTTTCTTTTTTTTTAATTTAACTTAACTATTTTTTTTGCATTACAATCCTTATTACACATACAGACCTCAATTTTTCATATCTGTTCCTATAGTATATTCACACCAACTTATGCCATTATATGTGTGCTTTTTTGCATTACAATTCTTAATACACGTAATAACACATTTTTCATATCTCTGTATATAAGGTGTGTTGGCCCCAAATTCAAATCTTCATATATGTATTTTGTATAAGGATGACCATCAGATTCCACCATTTTTGTTAGTTCCCTTACCCCTCCCTTTCCCTCCCACCCCTTTTTTTTCTTGGCTAGAATTTAATCTTCCCATTCTCTCCCTCCCTACCCCACTATGAATCACTCCCCCTTATGTCAGAAAACATTCGGTGTTTGTTTTGGGGGGATTGGCTAATTTCACTTAGCATTATCTTCTCCAATGCCATCCATTTACCTGCAAATACCATGATTTTATTGTTTTCTTAGTGCTGTGTAATATTCCATTGTATATAAATGCTACATTTTTTTAATCCATCCACTGAGGGACATCTAGGTTGGCTCCACAGTTTAGCTATTGTGAATTGTGCTGCTATAAACATTTTTGTGGCTGTGTCTCTGTTTGCTGTTTTTAAGTCCTTTGGGTATAGTCTGAGAAGAGGAATAGTCGGGTCAAGTGGTAGTTCCATTCCCAGATTTCCAAGGAATTTCCGTACTGATTTCCAAATTGGCTGCACTGATTTGTAGTCCCACCAGTAATGTATGAGTGTACCTTTTTCCCCACATCCTCGCCAACTTATGTTGTTGCTTTTCTTCATAATAGCTGCCATTCTGACTGGAGTGAGATATCATCTTAGAGTAGTTTTGATTTGCATTTCTCTGATTGTTAGAGATGATCAATTTTTTGTATATTTGTTGATTGATTGTATATCCACTTCTGAGAAGTGTCTGTTCAGGTCCTTGGCACATTTATTAATTGGAATATTTGATTTTTTGATGCTTGTTGAGCTCTTTATATACTCTAGAGATTAGTACTCTATCCGATGTGTGAGGAGTAAAAATTTGCTCTCAGGCTATAGGTCCCCTGTTCACCTCAGATTATCTCTTTTGCTGAGAAAAAACTTTTTAGTTTGAATCCATCCCATTTGTTGATTCTTGGTTTTAATTCTTGTGCTATAGGAGTCTTATTAAGGAAGTTGGGACCTAATCCCAATTGATAGATTAGGGCCTACTTTTTCTATTAGACACAGGGTCTCTGGTTTAATTCTTAGATCCTTGATCCATTTTGACTTAATTTTTGTGCATGATGAGAGATAGGGGATTCAATTTTGTTTTGTTGCATATGAATTTCCAGTTTTCCTAGCATCATTTGTTGCAGATGCTATCTTTTCTCCAGTGCATGTTTTTGGCACCTTTGTCTAATATAAGATAATTGTAATTTTGTGGGTTAGTCTCTGTGTCCTCTATTCTGTATCATTTGTCTACCCGCCTGTTTTGGTGCCAATACCATGCTGTTTTTGTTACTATTGCTCTGTAGTATAGTTTAAGGGATGGTATAGAAATGTCACCTGCTTCACTCTTTCTGCTTAGAATTGCTTTAGCTATTCTGGGTCTCTTATTTTTCCAGATGAAATTCATGACTGCTTTTTCTAATTCTCCAAGGAATGAATGCCATTGTGATTTTGATTGGAATTGTATTACGCCTGTATAGTGCTTTTGGTAGTATGATAATATTAACTCTGCTTATCCATGAGCAAGGTAGATCTTTCCATTTTCTAAGGTCGTCTTTGATTTCTCTTTATGGTTCTGTAGTTTTCATGTATAGATCCTTCACCTCTTTTAAGTTGGTTCCCAAGTATCTTATTTTATTTTTTTTTAGGCTATTGTGAATGGGGTAGTTTTCCTCATGTCCTTAGAGGATTTATTACTGATATACAGAAATGCCTTTGATGTATGGGTGTTGATTTTATGTCCTGCTACTTTGCTGAATTCATTTACTAGTTCTAGAAGTTTTCTGGTGGAGTTCTTGGTGTCTTCTAGGAATAGAATCATATCGTCAGCAAATAGTGCTAGTTTAAGTTTTTCTTTTCATATAGTGATTCCTTCAATTTCTTCTAATTGCTCTGGCCAGTGTTTCAAGTACTATGTTGAATAGAAGTGATGAGAGAGGGCATCCCTATCTTGTTCCAGATTTTAGAGGGAATGCCTTCAGTTTTTCTCCATATAGAATGATGTTGGCTTGAGGCTTAGCGTAGATAGCCTTTACAATGTTGATGTTCCTGTTATTCCTAGTTTTTCTAGTGTTTTGAACGTAAAGAGGTGCTGTATTTTGTCAAATGCTTTTTCTGCGTCTATTGAGATGATCGTATGATTCTTAAATCTTTAAGTCTATTAATGTGATGAATTACATTTATTGATTTCTGTATGTTGAACCAAACTTGCATCCCTGGGATGAACCCCACTTGATCATGGTGTACAATCTTTTTGATGTGTTTTTGCATTTGATTTGCCCAAATTTTATTGAGGATTTTTGCATCTATGTTCATTAGATATTGATCTGAAGTTTTCTTTCTTTGAAGTATCTTTGACTGGTTTTGGAATCGGGGTGATATTGGCCTCATAGAATGATTTGGAAGTACTCCCTCTTTTTCTGTTTCCTTAAATAAATTGAAGAGTATTTATTAGTTCTTCTTTAAAGTTCTTGTAGAAGTTGGCTGTTTATCCATCCATTCCTGGGATTTTCTTGGTTGGTAGGCTTCTGATGGTGTCTTGTATTTCCTCACTTGATATTGGTCTGTTTAAATTGTGTATATCTTCATGGTTCAATCTGGGTACATCATATGACTTAAGGAATTTATCGATGCTTTTACTGCCTTCTGCTTTATTGGAGTATATGGCTTCAAAATTTCTAATTATCTGTATTTCTGTAGTGTCTGTTATGTTGCCTTTTTCATCATGTATGCTGGTAATTTGAGTTCTCTCTCCTTCTCTTCATTAGCATGGCTTAGGGTCTATCAATTTTATTTATTTTTTCAAAGAATAAACATTTAGTTTTGTCAATTGTTTTTGTTTCAGTTTCATTGATTTCAGCTCTGATTTTAATTTTTTCTTCCCTTCTGCTTTCACTGCTGATTTGTTCTTTCTAGGGCTTTGAGATGTAGTGGGAGGTCGTTTATTCGTTGACCTTTTCTTCTTTTAAGAAATGAACTCCGTGCAATGAGTTTTCCTTAGTACTGCTTTCATAGTGTCCCAGAGATTTTGATATGTTGTGTCTGTGTTCTCATTTACCTCTGAGAATTTTTTAATCTCCTCCTTGATGTCTTCTGTAACTCACTGTTCATTCAGTAGCATATTCAGTCTCCATGTGATGCAGAAATTTTTATTCTTTATTTTGTCATTGATTTCCAATTTCAATCCATTATGAACTGATAAAATGCATGGTAGTATCTCCTTTGTATTTGCTAAGAGTTGCCCTGTCACATAGTATATTGTCTGTTTTTGAGAAGGATCTATGTGCTGCTGAGAACAAAGTGTATCCACTTGATGCTGGTTGATATATTCTATATATGTCAGTTAAGTCTGTTATTGTGTTATTGAGCTCTATAGTTTTTTTTTTTTTATTCAACTTTTGTTTGGAAGATCTGTCCAGTGGTGAGAGAGGTATGTTAAAGTCACCCAAGATTATTGTGTTGTGGTCAGTTTGACTCTTGAACTTGAGAAGAGTTTGTTTGAACATAGCTGCACCATTGTTTGGGGCGTATATATTTATGATATGTATTGTAGGTGTACGGTTCTCTTGAGCAATATGTAATGTCCATATTTATCCCTTTTAATTAACTTTAGATTGAAGTCTGCTTTAATATGAGTATGGAGACTCCTGCTTGATCTGTAGTCCATGTGAGTGGTATGATTTTTTTTTCCCCAACCTTTCACCTTCAGTCTGTGTATGTATTTTCCTATCAAATGAGGCTCCTATAAGCAGCATATTGTTGGATCTTTTTTAATCCAATCTTCTAGCCTATGTCTTTTGATTGGTGAGTTTAAGCCATTAACATTTAGGGTTACTATTGAGACATTGTTTGTATTTCCAGCCATATTTGTTTTTGTTATTTAACTTTACTTGGGTTTCCCCTTTGATTATTTTTTTCTTTTAGTTTACTACCTCCCTCTGCTGGTTTTCATTGTTCTTCATTTTCTCTTCATGAAATATTTTGCCAAGGATGTTTTCTATTGCCAGTTTTGTAGCTATAAATTCTTTTAACTTTTGTTTATCATGGAAGGTTTTTATTTCATCTTCAAATCTGAAGCTTAGTTTTGCTTTGGTTTAAAGGTGGTTTTCTCACTTTAGAAAAAGGAAAAGGTTGGCTGGACATGGTTGTGAACACCTGTAATCCCAGTGGCTCAGGAGGCTGAGGCAGGAGAGATGCAAGTTCAAAGTTAGCCTCAGCAACTTATTGAGGCCCTTTATCAAAATTAAGAATAAAAAGACCTGGAGATTGTTCAGTCATTATGCTTCACTGGGTTCTATTGCCAGTTTTAAAAAAGTTATATGCCTTGTTGAGAATAAATATGCTGTTAACCCATCACTCAGAGGGATACACACAGACAACTACTCTGCTCTTTGTGAGCCCCAGTAGACCTGTCTCTCACACTCAACCTCACTTCCTTTCTGATAATCTTGGTCAAGTAAGAGAGGAGCCCCAGCTGTACCAGGAATCAAAATATGGCCTCTGAAAAAGGCCTGAGAGGACCTCCAATTATAGATAGAGATCTAGCTCTATTATCCTGATATCATTTCTGGAAAACCCTGGTAGGGCTGTTTGGCACAGGTACCACCCTACTACCCCCTCCCTCCATCTGTTCCTTGTTGGCATTTGGAAGATGGAGGCCTTGGCCTGAGGGATATATCCTCAGGATAGCAGAAAGGAAGGATTGTAGGTCCAGTCAGGAGTAAACATGAATACCTTCAGGAGGATTAAGAGTAACTCTTACTCCAAGGGGTTCCTCAAAGAAACCTGCTTCACCCCTGTTAACTCTGGCAGAACCCACATAGGTCTATCTGAATCACCCCTCATTTCCAGATGACCTGGTTGTGTAAGGGTGGTGAGGATTGGTTATTATTGTTCTGTTGTTTGAGAAGACCAAGTCACCAGAAGGAGTCCCAGGTTCTGCTTGGCATAGAGGAGCAGACCCTGAGGGAGTACTACCATATGCCACCACTAAAGGACATACTGGGTTGAGCCCCTGCTGTCCACCCTAGGAGATACTGGGCAGATGTGACTGTGATATCTTCTCAGTTTTTTTTTCATTGGTCTGAAGGAGGTGAAGGTCTTGGCCTAAAGGGTCAACCTCACATCAACAGGTAGCCACATGTGGTCAGCCTATTGAGATGACCCAAGGTAGGAGTCAAGGTGAAGAACCTGAATTTAGATTTAGAGGACTCTCTCCCTATGCCTTGGATGTTTGGGGGCCCTGACCTGAAAGGCCCTGGGCACTGGGTTTCCAGATGTGTTGTGCCCTTACTTCTACCTGATAATTTTAGTGAGCTAGATTCAGTTCAGCTGAGGGAGGAATCTTGGGCCTTTCAATAAATCAGTATGAGGATAGAGAGCCCCTGTGCACAAGAGCAGATGGAGCTTAGCTCTCCATTCCTTTTAGTCTGTTGTTGGGAGGGCCCATCCACTTCATAACTATAGAGATCTTACAGAATCCAATTATTTCTGCCTACCTGCAGTCTGAAACCTGTTTCTCTTACAGAGGCTCCGGAAACTTGGGGTGGAGGCCTTGAAATGAGTCACATAATCCCCAGATCATAGAGTAGAAGAGGGTCCGGCCATGTTAGAAGGCATGGTGAGATGCACACCCTGAATGTGTGTCTGGGACCTTACCTCTAAAACGAAGAGACCCCATAGTTCTGAATCTACCTGCTCTGCTGCCAGCCTCAGACTGTGCTGGCCAAGTATATCATGAAGAGCATTCTCGAATCCTCCTACAGGTTCCTAGGAGATAGGCTGATGAGTAGGACAGAAGACTTGTGAGGCCCTAGAGCACTGTCTGAGGGAAGACCTGTGAAGATGGCTTTTGTCAATGTTGACAAGGTTAAGTTTTTCACACTCTTCCCCTCTCAGACCAATTTGTATTAACAACCCTTCTGGTTTGTCTTTGCAGTTAATTATGATTCCTTCTAAGCAGAAGACTCAAGAGTACACTCCCCTCCGCGCTCAAGGAGAGGAAGTGGATCCACTTGATCCTGATGTTCCTGTAGTTGAGGAAGTGCTTGCTATAGCTACCTCATCCCCTGCTTCAAGCCTGAGCATCATGGAAGAATGGCCTGAAGCTGGAACACCTGTCCTCTCTCAGAGTCTATTAAATCTTACCCAGAGTCTTTCTCAAAGTCTTTTGGAAACTGCTTTTATTGATTCCAGTCTAACAGGCCAGTCCAGTGAAGGTTCTAGTGGCCAAGAAGGTGATATAGGTGCCTCATCTGCCTTCAGGGATCCCGAAATCTCCCTTATTAATATACTAGAGAAGAGAGTGGGTGAATTGGTGAATTTTCTTATCGCCAAGTATAAATCAAAGGAGCCTGTCACAAAGGAAGAAATGCTGCAAAGTGTCCTTAAAGAGCAAAAGGACTACTTCTCTGCAATCTTCAAGAATACCTGTGAATGTATGGAGGTTGTTTTTGGTATTGAAGTTAAGGAAGTGGATCCCACTAGCCACTCCTACATGCTTATCGAAATGGTAGATCTCACCTATTACAGGAAGATAAGTGACCAGGGTATGCCCAAAACTGGCCTTCTAGTATTTATCCTGGGTATAATCTTCTTGGAGGGAAACTGTGCATCAGAAGAGAAGATATGGGAGATGATTAATATGCTTGATGTGCATGGGAAGAAGGAATTCATGTCTGGGGAATGCAGGAAGCTCATAACCAGAGAGTTAGTGCAGGAGCAATACCTGGAGTACCAGCAGGTGCCAAATAGTAATCCGCCATTGTATGAGTTAGTTTGGGGCCCCAAATCGTATGCTGAGACTAGTAAGATAAAAGTCTTAGAGTTCTTTTCGAAAGTCAGTGGGAATCGCCCCACTTCTTTCTCATCCTTGTATAGGGAAGCTTTTAGAGAAGAAAGAGAAAGATCAAGATCTGCAGGTGATGCTACTACTGTAGACAGTGAAAATTCAAAGTCCAGATGCTTTTCCTGTCCTGAGTAAAGTCCCATAAAGATACCTAACTGCTCAAAGAAAAATCAAAAGGTTTAAGTAGTAAAGAGATTGAGAGAAACATTTTCTTTTTGGTATTTTCACATTTTGTTTAGTAGTTTTATTAGCTTCAGAATTTAGGTCTACTAATTACATTGGTCACACATTTATTGCTTATTAGGTTTAATGAGTTTTGATATTTTGAAAAACTGAGAAACTTTGTTTTGTGATCTGCAACAGTATACCATGGTGTTGGAATAAAAATTTTCTTAAAAATGTGAAAAATCATTAAATGTAGGAAAATGTAAAAGATGATTCATCTTAAGATTTCTATATCCATTTTGTCTGATCATTGTGCACAATTAAAGATATCTTTGGTTGGTTTAAGAATATGCAAGAAATTAAATATTGATAAATATAGTCCTGGTTTATTGGCTTGCTTATTCTGTGAGCATTGAGTATCTGCTCACTGGAATGAATTGTATTAGCAATGGAGATTCTAAGATCAGCAAGGAAGATGGTAAGATGTTCTCTAAAACATAAAGATCAAGTAAAAGATGAAATGAGGAGGTGGGATTCTAGATGCCAGCAGTCAAGTGTAAATGCCCTGATCCAGGGGACTTGGGGATTTGGGAGGCTGTCGTTCTTTCCATGGGAGCTTAGGTTAAGCTAAGTGGTGACAGAGGTCAGACTCAGACTGTGTATTACTGGTGAGAGAAAAGCTTGTAATGGAAAACTGATCTGAGCATTTCCTTTTGGATTATAGATAAACCTGAAAGAAATCTACACCTGGGCCAGGTGTGGAAAGTGTCCAGGTATAAATGAACAGTGCACAAACTAAGTGTCATATACAAAAAACCTGTAAGAGTTTCCTAGGAAATATTCCCTTGCATTCTTTTCCCTGGCCTGGGACAACTGGAGTCCACTTCATTGAAAAGATATGTATAATTAAGTTATCTTGATTGTAACTTAGGAGTTAGATTTTTGGTTAGAGTGAAATGAATGAAAATGGTTTGGATGAAGAGCTAGTTTAAATTTCTAGGGGCTTTGAGCTACACACAGTTGGGGAAAATTCAGCCACATCCAAATTCTGTCCTGTCATAGAGGAAAAATTGCTGAGTTATGTGTATAAAGTAGCATTTCTGACCCATTTGTTGAGTCATAGAATTTTGTCTCTTGAGATGTCCTTAATCTCACTCCCAGAGAAAATAGTAGTTAGGTAGAATCTAGGGTCAAACTTGGAAAATACTGCCTTTAAAAAAAAAAAAAACCAACATACACCAGACAGTATGTAAAGTGCTTTATATGTTTGACAGGAGTCCTACACAATAGGACTCAATGAAATCATTTTATAGATGAGGAAACTTGGACTTAGCACTTGGCAAATTTTCCAAAATCACATGGCTATTAAAGGACAGGGCTGGGACTTGACTTCTAGTCTAAATCCATCTAGCCCCATATTGTCCCCACTCCTATCAGTTTAAGGCAGACCTGTTTCTTCATTTTTTTCCCTCAGTCTTTCAGGCAACAAAAAGGAGAGCTTTGAGGCCAAGATACTAAAGGTAGACCTAAAGAAGAAAGTGATAGGAGAAACAATCTGGCACTGTCTTATGGTTTTTTAAACCTGAGGTCCTACAGCCTGAGTTCCAGGATTCTAGAGAGCTAACTTTGCCCAGGTGATGGTATCTTTGCCCCACCCCAGGGATTTCCCAATTTTCAGTACCCTTTCCCTAGTGACTCCACATGCCCTCGTGTCCAACTCTGGAATCTACCCTGATGACCTATCACTGCAGCTTCCTGTGAAGGCTGTACTCTGTTCTCTCAATGGAACAGCCCAGAATCGCCTTCTTTCTCCCTGATGTGCCATCCCTCATTCTTAAACCTCTTTGATGGCAACAGCATATTCAATGTAACAGCGCACTTTGAAGAATATTTTGATCCCTGGTCACCCCCATTGAGCCTCTTCAACACACAAATTATTTTTCAAATGAGCTGTGAGTAGAACCTAATTTGCAAATAAAGTACTGATCCTTGTAATATAACCCTAAAGTTAGAGGAGAGGTTTTGAAATCACCCTGATATTTGCAGTAGGATTTTTAAAGAAGTTGTATTATTTGAAACAGGCCACTGGACACATACAGTTGAATGGACTTAGATGCTTGAAAACTAAAGCCTCTCACATAAGTGGTAGATGAAGAAAGACCATAGAATATACATAAGAGGTTAAATTCCTAAGACCCTGGAATTCCCTTAGGAGGTGGGCAGTAGTTCCTTGCCGCAGTCTGGCTGGGCACAAATAATCGAGCCGCCACAAAGCCTTGTAGGTTCAAACAGCAATTCTTTATTCCCCAACTCTCACCGGCACTGCACACACACTACTGGGGAACATACTCCTTCCACAGGGCTCCGTGTGCCCAGTTCCCCGAACCCCGGGGAGAACTTCCCCAGGGAACTCCAAAGTAGCATCTGAGGCAGATTTCCCAGAGCCGCCCTATTCTCGGAGCAGGGTCCATATACAACTCAAATCAATCCAGCATCACAGCAATTATATACAGCTTAACTCATCTCAATGGTTTGCTGGTGTCACCTTTCAACCATTCCCTCTGGCAATATGCCAGGCATCATTCTGACTCGGTTGTGGCTCTCAACAGTTCCTAGTTTACCTCCTCATGCTGATGGAAAAAAGAAAATGTTTAATAGTCCTTCCACTGCCGGTGTTTGTTTCCATAGGAAAATATTTGTTTGCAGTTTACCTAATGGCATCTATACAGGTGTTCAGAAAAGTTTGTTCATGTGGAAGGTAGCAGAGGCTTGTAAGTTGAGATTTTTACCATGCCTCAAATAGGAGAAAAATCTCAACCTACTAAGATTATATAACTTATTACAAAGAGCAGTGTATAACTCCCTATTAACATTTACAGGATCCATTTGAAACTAGATGTAACCCTATATTTGAAGGCATTTGAAAAAGTGGATTTAAAAAAAAAAACACTTGGCTTTCTCAGAAATTCCTCTAAGAAATGAAGGGTTTTTTTATTATTATTAAAACATAATAGTAGCATGTAATTGAGCATGTACTATATAAAACCTTATGGAAGAAACTAGAAGTGCTCACCCAAGGCCTATCTTTCTCTCCTTCTGGGCCATTCACCAGTAGTTAGTCAGGAGCCAGTGTGACATTTCCATTCAACAGAAATGGCATTCCTGGGTCAAGATGATGAAGCTAAACATGGAAGCAGCCTGGATCCCTGGCTGTATTAAGAGAGGAAGTCCCTGCCAACCTACATCAGAATTAATGTGCTCATTAATTCTGTGTTAAGCTGTTCAAATTTCAGGTTTTGTCTGTTGTATAAACTAATAGTCACTTAACTGATTAATGCAGAGTTCCTATTTATAGTAAATTATATATTTTAGTAAATATTAAATATTTATATTAGAAAATATTTTACTAATTTATATACTTAAAAAATATTTAAATTACTCTAGGAGCTCCTTGACTTTGCATATAGACCACTAAATATTTTAATTACAAAGGTAATTGTGCAAACATACCTATTGCAAAAAAAAAATCTGAAAGTTCACATTTAACACAATTCTTACCTTTACAAAGTTCCTCCAAAAGGTCATCGGAATTAACCACAGTTAATAATATGATGTGTAATATTTGAGGAATGGCCTAGGACTAGTTACCTCATGCAGATAAAGGGATGGGGTCCAACATGCCTTGAAAAATGATCCAGATAGTGTACCCACCTCAGACCATCTCCCTTGCATTCTGGGCCATTGGCACTCTAGAGGGCATTTTTGCTGTGGCTATGACTGCTGACCTATGTTGCCACCAGATACTATCTGGGATAGAGGATTAGATAAAGTTCAGACATTGGCAGGTTAGATGAAGATGGCTTGCTTCCTTGTGGAACTGAAGAGATATGTGGGTGGAATGCTCCTGAAGATGGAATACTTCCTTGTTAAATTAACAGAGATGTGTGGGATGCAAAACAAGAAGCATTGTGTGCCATGCTGTGTGGAAGTATATCCACAATCAAGAGGGCATTTAGGCCTGGAACAGAGTCCATATTGAAAGTTTCAGTGGTAGCTTTCCATGGGAATTCTTAAGTTACGTTAGCAGTTGTGGCACTTTGAGTTTTTTTCCATAAAGGCATAAGGCCCAGGCATGGGGCAGGCTCCATGTTTTAGTCTGTGAATGTGATCCTTTGCTACTTTGATTCATTCATTCATTCACTCATTTATTTATTCATCCAGCAAACATTTATTGAGCAAATGTTAAGGAAAAATGAAAAAAAAAAAACAAGAGAACACTTAATTTAGCCTGGATTGGGTGCATAGATAGAGGTTGTCTGAGACACAAGCTTAGGAAATATTGTAGTTTGTATACAATACAATCATCCCTTCTCCTGAAAACACGGTAACCAAAATCACACAAAACTTGATAAATCTAGGTAACTATTTAAAAAGAGAAATTACTTACCAAGAAAAATCTACCAATCAGAAAGTTTTCCTGTTTACACACACACATGTGCCTATGCCTTTTACATCTCTAGTCTTATCCCTATGATTCCTCTAAAATAATGTGGCTGTTTTAGGCTGTTGGAAGCTCTTCAACAACCAAAGTTTCTTGTGGCAAACAGAGCAAGTGGCTAGAGGCAATACTGAGCATAAGTATCTGGAGGCCAAGATTCCATTATCTATCATAACTGGTGAATAGTAGTTGTCAAAATTTTACATGAGAGTGGCTCAAAAGGCCAAGGCAGGAGGATCTCAAGTTCAAAGCCAGCCTTGGCAACTTAACAAGGCCTTTGAGTAACTTAGATCCTGTCTCAAAATAAAACATAAAAAAAGGACTGGGTATGTATCTCAGTGGTTAAGCATCACAGGGTTCAATCCCTGGTACCATAAACAAACAAACAAACAAACAAAAAACATTACACAAGAGACCCATCATCCAAAATGAAGCCTTCTACAGAAATTCAGCCCATGAACATGAGGAAACTGGAGCAAGCTGATTATTGTGAGGATTACTAGACCAGAGTCCTGCCCATTCAGTACCCTTTCCTCTCCCTTGGGGTCAATGGGTCTGGATACTCAACTATAGAACTCTAGGCTTCCCCTAGCACAGATAGGAAAGCTCTGTATTAGAAAAACCCCCTCCTGAAAGATGAAGTTTATCATACACCTGCACAAGCATCTGTGAGGTCCGCATTCTGCCCAGTACACTGAATCCCTACTTTGCTTCCATAATTACAGATACTATCAACTTTTGGCCCACCAACTTCTGTATCTCCAGCATACCTTGCCATTCCATTTATGATTTCTCCAACCCCACATTGCCATCAAGTTAGAGCCCCATAGGCACCCACTACCTTCCTAGCCA